ATGGACTGGCACAAGTATAGATGCAACCTCAGACCAGAGTCCATACTAGTTGGAGACATCAATTCTCACCAATCAAGCCCTTTTGATGGTATGCTGCTCTTCTTGATGCTGCTGGTTATACTCAGCTGCCCTCCTGACCTGGCCTTCAAGGATAAGCTGCTCCTCCAGCTTGCTGCAAGGTGGCTGGAGGATGGTTTGCTGTCTTTGTTCCTCCTATCAGAAGGCCTCATTATAATTGAAGAGAATGTTAAGATTCTAGACAGAGAATAGTCAGTGAATGATTTCATTTCTGTTCTCTCAGATCTGTCACTCATTGTTAAGCTGGTTTGAAGGTGCTCTCTCCAACCCACTGCTGGTTCTGACTGAGTGATAGGTCAAAGAGGCAGAGCTGTGAGACTGGCTTCAAGATGTCATGTGGCAGAGTCCTGCAGCCATCTGAGTGAAATTGAGAGAGTCTTGGGCATGGTTATCAATCCCAGAGATTTAAGAGGTCCTGGAATGGTCAGAAGAGGGAGACTGCTGAAAGAAGTCTGCCAGGAGGCCCTCATCCTCATGGTCAGAGATGGGGGTTTGCTGCTAAGGATTCCTGAATCCTGTGAGGCAATCATTGCTGTTTCTACTAACTGGCCAAGAGAGATATTAGTGTCTTTCTTCTTCTTGATCACACCTCTGATGCATGCTGCTAGACTCAGCTTCTGATAAGAGACTGATCAGAGGCTGGTGGGACATTCATTAGGACTCAGGGATGTCATGAAGAGGTAGATCTGAGGTTATATTTCATAGAATTTGTCAGATGTGTTGAAACTCATTGTAATGTCAGATAGTCCAAGTGGTTATTGAGTGATATCCCTAGCACAGCTGGATGATCATAAGTAAATCTAATAATGTTCTGATGATGAAAAATAGGAGTTTGAAGAACTCTCAATCAAAGTTCAGATCTGATAGGGTGACTGAGGGCATTTGGTTTCCTCCACACTATAGTGTGTGAGGAAAGGGAAAAGAAAGCTTTGAGCTAATTGTTAGACTCAAGTATTATGTGAACAGATACATGTGATAAACAGACATCATCTCACACTTTAGGTGATCAACTGAGTCCACTTGATGTGTATTCTGATCAATATGTCATAAGGTCTGAAGGATTGGCTTGAGGGTAGAATGAGATGAATAAATTTTAGCTTGAAGCTGAGGATTACTAGTGAGAGTGAGTCTCTTAAATACTGTACAAGCTTTGTCTAAATATACTACTACTAATTATGCATTGTCAAGTCTTTTGTGCTTATTGTCCTTGGGTATCATTACTATATATAAAAGAATGATTGTGCATTGTCAGACAATACTGTTGTATCAAAAGACAATAATGAACTTGGCCTTGTGATGACTAAGCCTTGTCCCATGGTCTCAAGTGCCTGTGTTAGCACCCTGACTAAGTATAAATAGGAGTTGAAAAGGTGAAAATTATAACAAATCTCTTCTAAATAAATGACTGTATTATCTGCAAGATGAACTGAGATAACATGCAGAGCATACAAGTTGAGTCAGTGATGATGGAAGATCATATAATAAGATAAATCTATATCAGTATTTTAAGAGATACAGCAGAGGATAGTAAATTAGTACTTGTTTAGCTAATAGTCTTCTTCTTTGCTTTAGTAGAACTTGCAGCTTCTTTTTTGCCAGTCCTCTTTTATCAATGTCTTGCAGTTATATATTCTGCTACATGCTTCTGATCACATTTGAGAGAACACTTTTTGGTCTCACATACTCTCTCACTGTCATCTTTATAAAGGCACTATTTACATGTAGGCTTTGTGCCAGTTGGCATCAGATCTGTAGGAGATAGGAATGTGGTGGCTTTAAGAGCAATATAAATAGAAGAATCACTAGCACATAGCTTTTGATTGTTCTCCATTATAGTATGCAGTGCTGAGATTTTTGAGAGTGAGTTTGTCAGAGAAGAGAACAAGCAATATGAGAGAGTTGCTGTATTCAGGCTGAGAGAGAGCACAAATCAGAGCTATAATGAGCAGTTCTTACTGCAGTCTAAAGTGAACTGGATAGAGGGCATAGATACAACTCATGATTTGTGAATTGCAGCTGACAAGATCTGGAAGTGAATTTTCTGTCTCCTCTTTGAGGTTGAAAAAGCTGCTATAAGCAACAAATTGAGTTGCTAACTTCTGTTGCTGATGGAGTGTCTTCAGAGTGTCCCACATCTGTTCTGGATTATCAAGGTACTTTTCAACATGTATCTTCAATGACTCATTAAGACAAAGATAGATTGTAATAGCAGCTGACATTTTTGTTTTCTTTCACTTCTTTCAACTTTTTTTCTTCTGATATATTAGATGATCTGAGTCAGCAAACTCTGGTTCAAGGTCTTTTTTGATTGTGATAAGATACTTATGATAGGTCTTCAATAGGACTGATATGTTTTTGTCTCATTCACTATAATTGGAACACTCAGATTCTCAAAGTCTTTTGATCAAGTTAAAAGATGACATAATATATGTGTGATAGATCTAGTGATACTTTAGTGATAGGAAGAAATGATGGAGCCTTTTGCAGATCTGAGCAGGATGCAAAAGATCTTAGAGAAAGCAGAATCTAAAACCTGTTGCTGATATAAAGTGCAATGGACAGAGTATGCTACTTATCTGAGATGATGGTCAATTGCTTAGAAAGCAATTGATGGTCCAAAAACATTACTCCAACTGAATCTCATGAATCCATGTCAGTTCTTGTGCTCAATAGTGAAAGACACACTTATCTAAAACATACATGGATGCCTGCATCTATTGCAGTGATAAGTCAAAGTTGAACTCTAAAAAATGGCACACTCACTGAATGACATCCTAGCAAAGTGATCAATGTTTAGAGAAATAGATAAAAAGAAGGATGTATACAAATTTGAGTATATACTGAGAGACAGTTGCCTTTTCTCTGCAGAATTCAGAAATTGACTTGGATTCTATTGATCAGTGTCATCACCTGAGACTGTTGGAAGGCTAGACACATCTGAGATGAGCTATGACAAATATTGATAGAATCAAACTATACACTAGTTATAAGTATATAAGAATGTAGAGATAACTTGTCTTTTGGAGATTGGAATTTCTGCATAATACACTAGAATATGCTAGTGACTGAGAATCATTAGCCAGTAGAGGACTATAGCTGAGGCTCTGAGCTGATAGTCATGCTAGTCACCAATACTAAGTCTAAAGGGACTTTGTTAAATAACATGACCTAAGGATAAAAATCCTAAGTCAGGTTTGAACTTAGAAAAGTTTAGCACCACATCTTGGAAAATACTAAGTCCAAGTTGGACTTAGAAATGGTACCTCAAATGAGGCCAATTCTATATGCCATTAAGACAAGTATATTCTAAGACAGCTAGGGGCATAATACCATAGCTAGTTGTAGAGTATTGAGTAAAGATAGCATCATTTAGAAGCAGTAGAAAATGGGATCCAATGATCTGTAGCTAGCACTGTGAGTTTTGACTCAAATGCCTAAGTCTAAATTTTCTAGATATCAGGTGACCTAAGAGACTTAGAATTGAGAGGAATAGAGTGGATAGGACTGGTTGACTGGGCCTGACCAGGCCTGATTGATTGAGCTACTAAGAATAACTTAGAGGATTAAAACTCTAGATAGACAGAAAGGAGTTAGGTACCCACAGGCACTGTAGGCTTAAAATAAAGCTGTGCAGTAGCCAGACAGGTCTGAGCAAGCCTAGGGGAGTCCAGGAGTGCTGCCATTCCAGAATAATGGCATGATTCTGCTTTAAACAGGAGAAATATTATTTTGAATGCTTTATTTATAGATTCAGTATCTGTTGTTGGTGTATAAAAGAAGGGAATGGGGGGGAAATAAGAAGCAAGTGATCCACCCCCATGTTCAGGTCTTCTAGCTCACTGTAACTAGTCTCTGAGACAACAGATTTTGAGTTCTACTTCGACTTAGTGATTTATTTAAGTTGCTTTGTTACTTAGAGAGGATTGGATTGAAATAATAACTGAATTTTGGGTTTCAGATTAATTTGGGTTTCAAACTATAAGGGTTTCAGCATCAGAATACAAGTTCTTCGGTTTTGAAGACTGCTAGCCAGCCAAGAGTGCAGCTAGTCAAGCCTAAGTGCTTGATAGACTTAGTATTTGGGTTTCAGGGTTTATTGGGTTTTGGAATATTCTAAGTTGATTTGAAGCGCAATTTTGCATTGATTCTAAGTCCTAATTATACTTAAACATTGCTATAAACTACTCTCATAAGTATTGCATCTTTGAAAGCAAGATAGAGTTGAATAACTGTCTTTATTGACTGTTTCATTGATTTTACTTAAGACTGCAAGAGTGCTTCTATTGTACTCAAAACAACCACCCTCAACTGTATTTGGTGATTGTGTATTGAGTGGTTAGGTGTTGGTGTTTAAGAGTTCATTCCTCATTCACCTCTCTTAGTCACTTAGCTATTACCAAGCACATTATCTGAAGCCCACTGCAAGGGGGTTTGTTTCAGACTTAATAAAAATCTGTTGATAAAGATTTTTGTTTCGCACTTAATCGTGTTGAATAAGAGAGTATTCATATTAAAACCTTGTGTACAATCTGTCTAACTGAGCCTCAGCAATAGCAAAGGGCAAAGCTAGAGCCACAGAGCCCACACAATCATCAATATCAAGGTTAGCATCTACAAGTGCCATTTCAAAGTCATCTAGAAGATTGACAGTCAATTTCTGAGCTGCTGGCATTAGTTCTCTGTCAAATTATGACTTGTTAAATTGCAGACAAAGTGAATCTATACCAACTAGCCTACAAGCTAGAGTAGCACAGCAGATCAATGCTAATTTAACAGTCCAAAGGACTAGGACTATTGCAATGCAGCCAAGGCAAAGAACTTCTACTAGTAGTGAACATAATCCATCACTACCTTTTGGACAATTTAACTCCCTGTCCAATCAAACTATTAGATCACAAAACATGTTGTCTAACATCCAAAAGATGCCTAGGCCCACATCTAGAGATGTGCCTAAGTTTGATAGTAAAGAGCCAGAAAATTTGAGATGCTTCATTGGTCAGATGGAAGATCTCTTCTCTGACTATGGCATCACTGAAGATGAAGAAATGAAGAAGAAGTTGGTGTGGTACACTGATGCATGTACTGAGGAAGAGTGGCAAGCACTGGATGAATATACCAGTGGTAGCTTTGCAGAGTTTAAGGAAGCTATTTTGAAGAACTATCCAGAAGCAGCTGATGCAGAGACTGGTATATGGGAAAGGCTAGTGTGCATTGCATGAAGTTTTTCTAATATGGGATCTGATGAACATGAGACATATCTGAAGTTCAAAAGAAAGTTCCTAACCGAAGCAAAGAAGCTGCAAAAACCTCCAGCCTTAGTCACAAATAGAGAGTTGGTGGAGAAGTTCGCAGAGTCTCTGGCTCCTGCATTCAGAGAGAATATTGCATCACGATTGAGTATCAAAAGAGGTTTAAGAAGTATGGTTAGCTCTACAGCAGCTCCTGTTCCAGTGGCAGACCAGCCATCAGAACCAGCTGTGGTACCTCTGGCTAAATGGAGAGAAAACATGCACACTTTAGAGGAAGTCATAGCAGAGGCTGATGATATTGCATTCAATACATCGACTAGCTATCTTCTGTCTTCTACAGAGAGAGGCTTGTCTTCAATAGATGCTGGCTCTAGCACTGTTATAAAAGTAGAGTTGGATGAAGTAAAACAGCAGGTAGTATCCTTGCTAGATAGAATAGAGATTAGTGATCATTATGTGAAGCAAAGACAAGATGAGATTATGCAAGCCTTCTAGCAAGGTGGCAACTTTGTGCAGATACAGTGCATGTCTAAACCACAGTATGATGAACAGAATAGAGCAACTACTTCAGAAGCTCTTTGTTGGTATGATTGGAAGCCCTATCATTTTGTAAGGGACTGCCTCAATTATAAGAAACATCTAGCTGAGAGTATTCTGAAGATTTTGAATGGTAAAGTGGTTATAAGAGATGGCTTGCTGATTCCAAATGAGCCAGTGCATCTGAGCCCTATGGATAATGTGCTCACCAAGGCAGTCAGCAAGAAAGAACAGATACTTTAGGAAGATGTTAGTGGACTGGTGGGTGTCTATAATGTTTCATTGCCATCTCAGGAGTCTAACTCGATATATGCAAACAAGCCAAGGGATGCCCATGACAAAGTCATTGATAGACTTCATCAGAATCTCCAATATTGGCAGTCAAGCACATGAGTATCTCAGACAACTATGCAACCACCTATGCAGCCACAGTTTGTGCAAAGTCCAGCAGTGGCTGGCAGTTCACAAATAAATCCGTCTTTCGATGCGAATGCATTCTTGAATCAGTTTAAGTCACTGTTGAGTCAAGTCAGTGTTCAGAATACACAGGGGACTTTGAGTTTTAGGCCTCAGACACAGAATTATGAAGAACAGTATATTGTCATATGATCAGGCACTGATGAACAATTCCAATAGGGTTTCAAAGGGATCCTCTCTGAGGTGCTGAAAACACCTATTATGTTGAATACAGAAGAATTAATGGATTTGTCTGAGCCTTTGAGAAAGGAGATAGCCAAGCTAATGGCTAAGAAGCGGATTTCAATGGAAGCATTACCAACTCAGATGTATAGTGTAGGGGAAGTGTTAGCTGAGCCTGAATTACTGCCATTTGCTAGTGAAGATGATGGTGATGAAGAGGACTACACCTTGGAGCCAGAAGCCATTGATATTCATGACTTACTATCAGCTACTCTTATAGCTACTCAATTCAATTTTGGGATGATCCCTGCTGGCTTGTTGATCATGAGTGATCCTTATCTCCAATATCTTGACTCACTGGCCCCTGGAGAGAGGCCCAAGCCTGTTGTAGTTGCTAAGGACTCAACTAGCCTGTGAGCAGTGTATCCAGTGATTAATAGTGCTGGTGAGGAGGAAAGTGTTATAGATGGAGGATCACAGATTGTATTGATGGTTGAAGAAATTGCTATGAAGTTGAGCATATCCTGGGATCCAGACATAGTCATTCATATGCAAAGTGCGAATGGGCAACTTGAGAAAACCTTGGGATTGGCCAGGAATGTTCTGTTCCTGTTTGATGATATCACAGTATATTTACAAGTACACACCATTGCTAAGCCTGCTTATAAGATGTTACTGAGAAGGCTGTTTGATGTTCTAACTGAGAGTCTGATAAAAAACCATGCAGATAGTGGACAAGTCATTACAATTACGGATCCAAACACTGGGAGAAGATGTACTATTCCAACCTTTGTGAGAGGAGCACCTCCTTGGCTAGCAAAAGCAGGATCAAAGGCAGTGAATTCAGATTTTTGCCAATCAATGATTTGATGTCTGATTAAGGAGAGCTGGCCTTACAAGTAGTACAGAAGGTTGATGGAACTTTTGAGATTGAAGCCTATGCCAAGCCAGAAAGGAGAATAAAGTTTTCACCAGATGAACTTTGTGATAACTTTTTACTGGCATCATTGGAGCAGGAATATGATTTGAAAAGAAATAAGGCACTAACAGAATTGTTGCAATCCTACTTTAACAGAGATGGAGATATTATTAAGAATTTTGAGCAAGTCAAAGATGACTTAGGATTGGTGGAGAGTAAAAGAGGAGCAGACTCACCATTAGCCTCTGTTTTCACTGGCAAGAAGTACAAGCCAGTGGCTCTAAAAGTAAAACCGCTTTTAGCAGACCTGCCAGACAAGTTCAGAATAGTAAGAGACATAAAGAGTGATCCACTAGTGGGTATGCCAGAATTAAATCCACACCCACCAGATTATGTTTCCACTGAGCAGTACAATAAAGAGAGAAAGGCAAAGATAGATGCAAACCATCCTGAGGGCTTCTTATGGCCAGAGAAATGGAAGCTAGTACACCATTTTATGACTATCCAAAAGAAGGCATTTGTCTGGAATGACTCAGAAAGAGGGCATTTTCAAAAAGACTTCTTTTCTCCAATAGATATTTCTGTAGTTCCACATACTCCATGGGTACTTAAGAATATTCTCATACTCCCAGAGATATATGAGGAAGTCTGTCAGATTATTAAGTCAAAAATCAATGCTGGGGTGTATGAACCTTCAAATTCATCTTATTAGTCATGATGGTTCTGTGTTGTAAAGAAAGATGAAAAGAGTCTTCATCTGGTATATAGTTTGGAACTGTTAAACACTGTGACTATTGCACACTCAGATATTCCACCTGCTACTGATGAATTATCAGAACATTTTGCTGGCAGAGCTTGTGGAGGATATTTGGATTTGTATATGGGATATGATGAGAGAGACATAGCCATTGAGTCTTCAGATTATACTACATTCCAGACACTCTTTGATTTTATGTGATTGATGAAGTTACCAATAGATTGGACTAACTCAGTTCTAATATTCCATGAGGATATCACATATATTCTGAGGGAAGAGATTCCACATGTAACTTGACCATACATCAATGACATGCCAGTAAGAGGGCCAGAAACCTGCTATGAAACTGAGAATGGAGAGTATGAGACAATCTCAGAGAACTCTGGTATTCATCATTTTGTATGGGAACATATGCAAAACATGAACCAAGTGGTACAAAGGATGAAGTACTATGGAGAGACCTTCTCAGGGCCAAAGACATACTTGTGTGTAGAAGAAATGATGGTGGTTGAGCATTTATGCACTTACAAAGAGAGAAAGGTTGAGGCTGATAGAGCAGGAGTCATAAGCTATTGGGGGCCCTGTAAGCATCTCTCTGATATGTGGACTTTTCTAGGGACATGTGGTGTCTGTAGAAAGTTTATTAAGGATTACTTCAAAATTTCAGAACTGCTAGTCAAATTGACAAGGCTAAATGTACCTTTTGAGTGGAGAGAACTGCAGCAAAAAGCCATGGATGCACTCAAGAAAGCAGTCATCAATAGCCCTGCCATTTGACTGATGAATCTCAAAAGTAGTGCAGAAGTTGGCCTTTGTGTTGATACCTCCTATAAGGCAGTTGGCTTCTACATCTATCAAGTAGATGAGAAAGACCCTAATAAACAGTACTATGTGTGCTTTGGGTCTATAATAATAAATGAGAGAGAAGCAAGGTTTTTCCAGCTAAAGCAAGAACTCTATGGTCTGCTATGAGCACTAAAGGCTTGTCAATACTAGCTCATCAGAGTGTATAACTTAGTTGTGAAAACTGATGCCTAATATATTAAAGAGATGTTGAGCAATCTGGGTATGAGACTGAATGCAACCATTAATAGATGGATTGAGGACATTTTGATGTTCCAGTTTATCCTAAGGCATATGAGAGACAGTACCTTTCCTGCAGATGGTTTATCAAGGTGTGATCCACAACCTGGCAATGAGGTTTATCATGACTTGGAGAATTATAATCTTGAGGAGCATGGACCTCTAAAATTCAAAGTTGCAGAAGAGGCTAGCACATTATCAAAGAACTTGGAAGAATTCAAGCATAGCATTGATAGTCAAGATGGCTATATGTATATGATGGCCATCAGCATTGATGACTTCAGAGCAGAGCTTGATGAAGCCAAAGCCCAGGAGGAGAATTTGAAAGCATTATATTTAAAGCAAGAAGGGACAGATGAGTCAGTATGCCAATTCTTGGAAGCCACATCTTTAATCCCAAATCTGGAATGGAAGTTTGACTCCAATAAAAGAGAGAACTATTCAGAAGAACATAGGATCAAGGGAGGAATAGCCCAAAATGAATGGTTACTGCTTGTGCAAACATGGCTGAAGAATACCAAGTTTTGGCCAGAAGGTCTCAATGAGAAGCAGTACTTGAGCTTCAAGCAGTACTGCCAGAAATTCTTCTTAGATAAAGATGATCAGTTATACTGATAGAATAGTGAAAGACATTATCAGCTTCTAGTTAGCAAAGAGCACCAGATATATATGATGAGGGCAGCCCATAACTCACTGGATCACTGTGGATTTTATGCAACCAAGTCACTGTTAGAGCAGCGATTCTGATGGCCAGAGTTGAAAAAAGATGTGAGTTAGTATGTTAAAACCTGTCATATATGCCAGGTTAGACAGAAGACCATGATCCAGATTCCTCTCCAGTGCACTGAGACCCTATTGCTATTTCAGAAAGTTCACTGTGATACAATGATCATGTCAACATCCTCCAACAAGAGAAGATATATTATACATATGAGGGATTCTCTCTCCTCATAGCCAGAGGCTTGAGCATTGCAGCATGAAAATGCAAAGGCTATAGCTATATAGTTCTTTGAGGATGTAATATGCAGATGGAGTTGTCCATCCAAGATAGTAACTGACAATGGTGGTCCCTGGGTAGCTCTTGTACAGTGGCTAGCTGGCAAGTATGGCATCTCTGGCATAAAGATCTCTCTATACAATTTGCAAGTAAATAGGAAGATAGAGAGAGGGCACTAGAATGTATGACAGGCATTATACAAAGCTACAGAAGGAGATGTACAAAAATAGTTCTATTTCCTGCCTCATGTTCTTTAAGCAGACCATATCACCATCAAGTGAGGGACAGGATGTTCACCATATTTCATGGCACTTAGAGCATATCCTATTGTACCTTTGGATGTTGTAAAAGCTACTTGGCTAGTAAAACTGTCTAGTGGAATCCTAAGTACAGCAGAGCTTATTAGAATGCATATGCAAGCACTAGCTAAGCATGCACAACATGTTTTAGCAATGAGAGAAAGAGTTAGTAGGAATAAGCTTGATGCTGTTCTTCGATATGAACAGGAGTACAAAGCAACTATAGTAGACTATGATTTCAAACCTTATCATCTAGTCCTTATGCATAACTCTCATGTGGAAGATAGTCTAGACAGTAAAATAGATCCTTGCTATTTAGGTCCTCTGGTTGTGATTTGGCAGACTAAGGGTGGATCTTATGTCCTTGCAGAATTAAATGGTTCTGTCCTGGGTGGGAGAGTCACACAGTTCAGAGTAATACCATATTATACAAGACAAAAGATTGAGTTACTACAGAAAATCCATGACTTAATTGATGTAAGTCCACAAACTCTGAAGGAGCTTGTGAATGATGATAAGTCTGTAAAACAGGAATATCAGTATCAGCTCCTCAGAAAGAACTTATATGGCATTGACCAGATCCAGTTACAAAATGGGGAATCTGACTCAGACTTATCAATTTCAGAACTTGAAGGAGAAGAATATCCTCCAGATATGGAAAATGATGAGTTTGATGATGAAAATAATAGTGCCCCCATTGCTAGCAGACTTAGAAATGCTAGGATTGCAACCAAGTAGAAAGACAAAATGCACTATAATAAATTGCAGTGTAAGGACAGTGAGTGCTAGAAGAAATTCTAGGCAGCTGGTAACTGAGTAAAGACAGGCTAGTTAAAAGACAATGCCAAGTAAAGACAGAGAAGAAAAGAAAAACTCTTGGGATATTAGAGTATGATTAAGCAGAAACATAACTAAGAGGCTGTATTTTCTCTTTAAAAGATGGAGGAGGAAGGCAAAGTTCAAGCTGCTGAACTATCTCTTGGTGATGAGACATCACAAATGCATGATATTGGAGCAAACACTCAATCTTATGAGTGGTAGCAACAATATCATTGCAAAGGTCACCCTTACAAGAATGCAAGACTGCCTCAGAAGAGTTGAGATGGTCACCATTCTTGACCAAGATACTGGCCTTCGATAGAGTGTCAGCACTAGCCTTGTTATTAATGGCTAAGTCAATGGCTGGTTGGAAAGCAACTTTAGAGAGTGTTCAGAAAAGAAATGTAAGTATTACATACCTGCAAGAGTGAAAGCAGAATCTCCAAAGGTATGCAGAGAAGCAACACAAGGATGCTTTCTAGCCTGGATGACAGCTTCATTGGCCTTGGCTTTAGCCACAGTCACCTCAGCAAGCTGGTAGAGACATGATGATAAGTCCATGCTGGGCACTTCAGCATATGGGAGTAATATCACCTCAGGATGGACCTCTTTGCTTCACTGGGGAGAAACAAGAAGGATATTGAATAAGAGGAAAGACAGAGTAAAAGAATATGCATACCACATAGATTTTGATTGAGCACTTAATCAATTTTATAATGTCTTTTATCATCAATCAGCTCAAGGTCAGATGACAGTGGTTGTTTCTGATTAGAAAAGGTGAGAGCAATATATAGGAAAAGAAGAGTTTCATTAAAGGTAGCATAGATTTTTTAAGTGATAGATAAGTGGAGCTTATATGCAGAGATGCTGATTTTGGCAAGGATAGAAAAAGGTCCAGTGCATTTATCAGCAAGTTTATGTTTCAGGTGAGAGAGATGAAGATTAGTGGTATCAAGCTACATTTTATCATTGACAGAGTATATGTGAGCAGGAGCATAATGTTTGTCATATTGTTTTTTTATGACAGTCACCACCTTTTTAAGAGTGATCCAAGTTTCATCATGAATTTTAGTCATGGTTTGTGTGAAGTCAGAGGAAGCAGAGGTCATCATATAAACACATTCTATGTGTGAGATGTTGGAGTGACAGCCATGATTAATAAAGAAGGGAGTTTTCCCAGTAGCTGAGTGGACATAGTTGTTATATTAGAAAGTGGCTAGTGCCAGCCATTCAACTCAGTTATCTTGGCAGTAATTAATGAACAATCAGAGATATTTTTTAATTTTCTGATTGAGGTGTTTCATTTAACTATCAGTTTGAGGATGATATGCTGTGAAGGCATTTCTGTGGATATTTAGGAGTTGATATAAGTTATCTAGGAACTTTGAAACAAATTGAGGTCTTTAATCAGAGATAACAACTTATAGCATACTATACTTAGTATAGACCTCATCATAGAGAATCTTGGCCCATCCTTCTGATGTCAGTTCTATCAAGCAGGTGATGAGAATGATTGCTTTTGAAAAGCAGTCAATAATTACTAGTATGATATTATAGTCATTGCAGTCAGATAGTCTAGTAACTATGTCTACTGAGATGTGAATCTATAGTGATTGAGGAACCTTGTTTGAGTGAAGAGGTGCTGCACATAGTTGGATGGATGCTTTTCTCTGCTAGCATGTTTTACACCTCTTCATATATTATTTTATGTCTTAACCTATTTTTAGCTACTAGTATTCTTGCAAAACCAATTCTTTGGTCTTTGCAATTTCTGAATGTCTCATTGTTATATGATCATAACAAATAGTGATGATCTCACCTCTAAGTTGTTGGTCTTATGAAATATAGATATGTCTATCATAACAGATCAGTTTTTCTTTTTTTGTCATTTCTTGCTTATGATTAAGTGATAGGGCCACTTGTTGGTCTCATTTACTGTTGTTCCTCATAATGCTCTTGATTTGCTTATGGATCTCTTCTTCAGTCAGTATTATCATTGCCCAAAAGTGTTTGGGTTTCAATAATATGACTTCCTCATTGTCATTGCCTCCTTGGTTGTGGTCCACTCATTGGCTTAGTAGATCTGCCTTTCTGTTTGCTGCACCAGCTTTATGATACAATATATAATTGTACTCAGAAAGCTCTATTACTCAATGTGCTTGTCATCAATTGAGTTTTAGAAAAGTCAGAAGTAATAGAGGTTTTGGTGATCAGTTCAGATTTCAAAAATCTGAACTGTCTCAATCAAATAGTGATACTATTTTGCAAGAGCCAATATGATTGCCAAAAGTTTCTTGTTATAGATTTCACAGTTTTGTTTGGTGACAGTGAGTGCTTTAGAAAGAAAGGTGACTGGTTATCACTTTCTGTCTTGTTCCTGAGAAAGTACAGCTCCAATTGCTTTTTCACTTGAGTTGGCTTCCACTCTGAACTTCTTTTTCTATGTTAGAATAGCCAAAATGACATTCTCAACTAGCTGTTATTTGAGATCATTGAACACAGCTTGCTGAGAGAGTCTTCAACTCCATAGAGCATTGCCAGTTAACTGGGTCATTAGTCAGATAATCTTGCTATAGTCTCATATGAATTGGTGATAGAAGTTGGTAAATCTCAAAAAGGACTGTAACTCTTTCTTCATTGGTACCAGCCACTCTATTACTCCTACCATCTTTATTAGATCCATTCAGATGCTCTCTTCACTGATGATCACCCTGAGATACTCTGTTTTTAGTATCTTAAATCTGTATTTCTCTGTCTTGAAGAAAAGTTTATGCTTTCTCATTAGTGTGAGTACTTATCAAACCAGCCATCAATGTTCTTCATGATCCTTAAACATGATGAGAATGTTGTCCAGGTAAATGGTTACTTTGCTAGTGGTAATGAAATCTCTAAAGATTCATCATTCATTAGAAGGTGGCAGGAGAATTGGTAAAGCCAAAGAATATGATAGTTGGCTCAAACAATCTATAATTAGTGTGAAAGGCTGTCTTCTATTTGTCTTTCTTTTTGATTCAGATATTATTATACCCCCATCAAATGTCCAATTTTATATAGTATCATGCCCTCTGTAATTTGTCTATTAGTTCTGAGATTAAGAGAAGTAGATAATGATTTTTGATCATTATCTTATTTAGCTTTTAATAATTTTAAATAGACTGGAGTTTTCTGTCTTTCTTTTTGATAAAGAAAAAGAGAGAGATCATAGGAGATTTGGATGGTCATATCTGCCCAGTGGAAAGGTTTTCATCTAGAAACTTATCAAGTTCCTGTTGTTCCAGATTCCCAAGAGGATAGGTTTTGCAATCTAGATTGGCATTTGCATTTGAGATCAGTTCAATTGCATGGTCTCAGGGTTTTGACTCTGATAGTTCATTGAAGCTCTCTTTGCTGAACAGATCCTGATAATCTTAGGTCCAATCTGGTACTATCTTCTTAAACATCTTCTCCTCTCTTTCTGTGTTAGCTTTAGCAGCTATATTATTAATGTGGTGTATAGTCTGAATATGTATGACTTGTTATATATCTATGGTGAGGATGGTTTCACTGTCTTCTATCTCCTCATCCCATCTATATTGAGAATCTTTATCTAGTAACTTGAATAGAATTTTTTGACATCAATAGCAGATAAATATGATCTGACTAGTTTTTCAGTTGACAAGTAGATTATAGCAAATGAGCCAATTATATCTTAGAAACACTTCTTTAGTCCCAAGGTCTATGACTGTCAGGTTGATTCACTTCAAGTGGTCACTAATAGTTAATTGTAGTTTAACAAACTCTATGATTGAACTAGCTTGATTCTTAGTTCTATTGACATTCTATATCAGTATGAGTGCTGCTGTGGCTCTTGTTGGTAGACTATGCTTGTTGACAAAAGTGTGATTTATGGAGCTTTTAGTGCAACTGCTGTCAATTAGAGTGGTTACTGCATATATAGATCAGTTTATAAGAGTCTCAATTTAGGCTTTAGTGATCAGTGGTCAGATCTCATTCTGAGGTTTTTATTTGTCAGATGTACTTTTGAGAGCCTTTGTTACATGCATGCTGCTGGCCTCCATATCACCTCAACCAACCATGACTGCAATCATGGAAACCCACTGGACTCTGGCCACTCCCTATTACCTATTAATTTCATTTCACCATTATCATTTCACATTCATATTTCACATTGTAATATCTAGATCCTGAACTCAGTAGCAAATATTGACATTGGAATCCAATAGAACCCAACTCGGAATTAGCTACTATTAGTATATAAAGCCATATATAACTATTATAACTACTCAGTTCAAATATCAACTTGGATAAGCCATCTATACTTTGCACTCACTTCAACTCCTCCCTTTCTCATTTATCAGATTCCACTCTAAAGGATACTCCTATTCATTTCTCTGATGGAACTCTGTTCTGTCCATCCAGATTCTTAGGCTCTAACTCAAGAGTGATATTGCCAATAGCTTTGTTAATGCTCATGCACTCCACCAGCCTCTATACATGCACTCAAGCCCACTTGATTGGCATGTTCCTAATGGCCTTAGAGTTTATCAAGCTATTCTAAAGCTTGGCATCATTCTGTTTTCTTCATTCCTTCAATCATTTTGTCTATCACTTCTTTAGCATGGATCTTATATATCTAATTTTTGAGTACTGCTTTTGCTGTTTCTTTCATAGTTGCATCTTTGATAATGCACTAAGTCTAT